AAACACTTAGGGCACCCCTCGATTATTCAATCATAACAAGTACTCGCCAAGCAGCTCTTCAACGAACTTGTGCCATTCCAGTCGGTCACCGGGATGGGTGGGGCCAGCCCGCATTCGAGGATCCTGTGGTGTGCGCCTCTGTTCAGCAATCAGTGCTGGATTTTCTGGCTATTTCTGGCTGCTGTGCTGCTGTCTGAGCACCCGGATGCCAAAGAGACGGCAGTAGCTGAATGCTCCGATACCTGGCTGATCACACAATCTAAGACGGACGTATGGAGACATGATCAATTGTGTTATACTTTGTTTCTTTGAGCGCCAAGTTTATCGCAGGTTGACTGCAAGCATGGCCGGAAGGCTACAAGCGCGTCTGAGGACAGTGTCGGCTTTAAGCTCGTCATCGGCTGCAGTGTCCAGCTCTCTTCACCTCGAGAGGTCAGGGCCGCATCCAAAGCAGTGGCACTGCACGTTCTTGAGGCCATGGCCAGTGCCGTGCGTGCCGCACGATGGGTGTGTCCCGTGCGCGCTCTGCCATGTGCTAGGTGTGAAGAACTCAGTCATCTCCTCTCTCCTTGCCCGGGCTCCTCGCATCAGTCAGCACTGACACTTGACCCCAGTGGCTTGCTGGCCGCCTGTTCCATCTGGAAACAGCGGCTTTTCGCGGTAGACCAGCGCAGCGCTGTCCTTCAAAGCCTGAAAGTCCAGCAAATCTTTTGCCTCAAGGCTTGTTTTGTGCCTGTTGCAAAGCCTCCTCCAGCAGATCATCCAATAGGTCGGGAACGGAATGCTTGTAGGTATCCAGCAGACACTCCCACTGATAGCGTTGCACCTAAAAACCGGGCCGCCCAAAGCATACAAAGGACCACGCTGCAGGAGCACCCGCTGACCGGAAGCTTTTGGTGGCGCACATGTTGCTTGGACTTGGCCACTCGACGGCGCAGTGGCTCTAGGAGGTCCTTCACAAGACTGGCAACAACTTGCGCCCCACTTCAGTGCCAAATGTTGCAACAACAAGAAGAATCGTAGCGGCTCGGTCGGATCTTGATTGTGGCTAGAGACTCATTGAGGCAGCTGTAGGGTTTGCCAGGCCTGTGCACAGAAATCCTTCAGGAACTGCTCCTGCAGTCCATCTACGAAGTCATACCAGCTGACTTTGTTCAGCCCACCTTAGCATTGAAAACCGGTAGGCAATGCAGATTGACACCGACAATCCGCACAACTGTGCTCATACCTATGGAGAGGCTCTTTAAGCAAGGGCCGGCCACTGAAGTACACATCCCAGAAGGTGCGGCCGCCGATTTCAGACAAGCTGGTCACTGCAGCCTCCTCAGAAGTGCCAGAAGGTGCCAGTCCGTTGGTGCAGCTACCAGCAGGTGAAACCTACAGCACCTTGCCAAGGCCCTGGACACATCGCAATACCAAATAATGCAGATCGGAATCCTTCGCGCTTGACAGCCATTGCCTGAGATAGCTAGCTTGCTTCATACATCACAGCAGGAGAACTTGAAGTTATGCCTGAGGTTATGCCTGAGGCAGCCCTGCTGCTGCAAGAACTGCACATGTATTCGTTGCAAGGTCTGCGACCTCCCTCGGGAGGCCAAGTCTCTCCAGACAAGCCTGGCCCAGTGCCTGGCTGCACAAGGCACAGAAGCTCACAGCAAGTGGCATCCAGCGGCCTTGTCGAAGATAGGTTAGCCACAAGTCCATCAATGTCAACTTCAAGAAGCTGCTGGAGCTGCTTCACCTTTCAGTATCTTCCAGCCATGCATTAGAAAACCATGCAAAGCCGGGCAAAGCCGGGCTGAGTGGCCGCTGGGGTGAGCAATGCCCGGTCGCCCTTAATGTCCAGGAACACAAAGTACACATACGCTTCTCCAACCTCGAGGCGTATGGCGGTCAATGAGGAACCCCTGCAGCAAATGTAATGCACCAGTCGGCTGGGCCTCTTCACACCATTTGGAGAAGGCCTCGGCATTTCCCACATGCTTTGCACTGCGCAGCGCAGTGCTGACAGAAACAGCTCGTGCAGTGGCCCTGCCCTCCACCCTGCCTCGGAATCTTCTCCCCAGTGATGCAGCAAAACTGGCAGCGGTGGGAGGCTTCTATTTTCACCTGGCGCACCCCAGTTCGAGGTATGGCAGCTGCCTGGCCAAGGACTAGCCTCCCTCATCACTGGAGTCAATTCTCTCCAAGGCCTTACGCATCACACGGCATGCGCAGCATGCGATGTTTGCAAATGCAATCCTAAACTAACAGGGGACCTCGACCATTAGCAACTTCATCCGTTGAAGAACGTCCTGCGGGCCGTGAGCTTCTTCTGACTTAGCCACAACATATCCTTGAGGAGTTCCCATGCTAAGATGCATCGTCGAATTCAGCCTCATCGAAGTAAACTGCCAAAGCGAAGTCGAGCAAGGTGTCTGGCAAAAAACCGCCTGAGAATCAACCAAGCTTCTTTATTGCTGCCCATTCGCCAGCAGCTTCATGCTCCGAGGAATCCACGATCCAGGATCTCTGTCAGACCCTTGATGGCAACCAGCCCTTCATTAGGCAGGTCTGTTCTTGAGCACAAATAGTCGACCTCACGCACCGAGTGCTGACAGGGAGTTGTCCTCACATCAGCTGTCAGCTGGCTCTGAGCCACGGGCTGTCCTTCTCAAACACCGATAGGGCGGGGCGGAATTCTCCCGGTGCTCACGTAACCTGACCACATCCATGTGACAACGTGACCGAGCCCTATGGCAACCTTGCCTATCTTCCCTCAAGTGCACAATTAGGCAAACGGATCATCGCAATACAAGCTCCGTGGGCAACCTCTGACAATGAGCATCCACAGCACAAGCCAAAGAGGTCTGACATTCATGTAGGGAGGTGATGACTATTGCTCTTCGCATGCGCCGAGCAGCTTTGCAAAAGACTGCGCATCACCTGACCGCTCTCCATGACTCATGGACAAAGCTATTGATTCGCTTGTAATGACTCATGATATTCAAGCTTTCACTTGCCTCGGGTCACTGCAGCTTTGGTGCTGCAGGATGGCACGTTGTATCCAAGCCTTCATATCAAGAAGAACAAGATGCCATAACTTGACGTCTTGCATATGCGCAGGCCCAGTTGGGACACTCGCCATCTAGCTATCTGGGAACTCACTGCCTCAATCGTTGCAGGAAGCCGCCCGCCGAACCATCAAAGGGCATTGGTTTACAGAGCGCCTTGCAGAAGCATCTGTTGACAAGCAGCAAACTCTCTAGCCCTCTCTCTCCATGCATCAAACTAGCCCAGCCTGGTAAGAGTGATGCTGGCCTCCAGCCCGCAAGAAAAAAAAAGGCGCCCAACTGTCTCCGGCTACGCGGCGGCGCTTTCAAGCAAATGCTGCAGCGGGTACGCACAATCGTTCAGAGCAACCAAGCGCTCAACATTTGTTTAGAAGTCACGTCTCTAAAGCCTGCGACTTGGTAGAGGTAGGAGCCCCAAGTCCACAAATCGGCAGCTGAAAAAGCATTTAAGTGACACCTCTTGTGACTTCAATGCCTGTCCAAAAACAGATGCTTGGCTTCCAGCTTAAGGTTTCCTCTGTGAGAAAGCCAGCAGTATGCAACACCTACACCGGATACGATGCAGGCTCCATTTGCATGTGGACTACCACCTAGAAACTCACCAGACGCGGACTGAAGGCAGCGCATGCATTGAACCCGCCAAAAGCTCCGAGTCAGCGTGGCTGGACTGCATTGGAGACGTTTTGAGTTTGCATGTGCCAGTCGCAAAGGCTCAGAAAAGTGCAGCGGTGTCCTCCTGCATCTGCAAGAAATGCTTGTGGATGGTTTCGCGGATTCGGATCCACAGCGGCTTGTCATCTGGGCGCATGAGGCTTACTAAAGCGCTTTGCACATATTACCGAGGGAGGGAAAAGCTGCTGAGGCCTCTGCAGCGGCCGAGGTTCTCCAAGGCTTGTGCCAGGATTAACACCTGTTCAGAGGGAAGATGTGAGAAGCTCAAAGAGGGATGGCATGCGAGGACAGGCTCAGGCCTCCGTCAGCCTTGCGCTCTGCATGACCTGGCACAATGAAAATGCGGGAGCTTGATGTCAGTCTTCACCTGCCACTATGCCTCGATGGAGGACAAGACTGTGGCATCCAATAGAGAAGTCGGCGCAGCTGCGGCTTGTGCCGAAGGTCACCTGAACAGCATATGCGTTACGCGGCTCATGACGAGTGATAATGCGTAGATACAAACGTCCAAGTGAAGGACACCATACTTGACAGGCCCGGGAACTGGAATCCTGAGTACGAAGTTGCAACAAGATCGCATTTTGAGGACCCCTAAGAGGCAAGAATCGCAACTGAATTCGCCCCACAACTTAAAATCCCAGAGTTATGTCTCCCAGGAACATCTTCAATCTCACGAGCTCTGGACCCGAAATCTTTCGTTGCGCTTCATCGACAGTTTCTCTCAAGACCTGGTCTGCTCTGCGCGACCATGTCAACAAGTCCATGAGATTTCTGAAGGCTGGTGCAAGCTCGCGCATCCTGTCTGAACTTGCAGGCGTCCAAAGCCTGACTGCTTACGGCGAAACACGCTTCAAATGCCAGACCTACCCCGAAAAATCACCAAGGCTTTGGTCACGGCATGTTTGCCAATGCCTGTGAGGAGAGCTCGGCCTTGCATCTTAGAGCTTCTGAGCTAAAACAGCTGGAAGCATGAAGCATGAGCTGAGAGCAGCTGAGAGGAGCTGAGACGAGCCGAGAGGAGCTGAGAGGAGCTGAGAGCTGCACAATTTGTTCACACGCAGCTTCGGCCACGAGGTGCAGTGCTCGAGTGCTGTCATACTGCAGCCGGGCAAAGGCCCAGGCCAAGTTAGACCTGAAGGCTTCGAATTGCTCCGCTGTATACCGGTCATGGCAGGAACGACAATGACCCCCGGCATCACCTGACGCTTGCAGCTTTTGCCATCGCTGTGTCGCGTCATGGCTTTCGAAAATCGATTCTGCAAAAAAAGCCAGCTCTCACTTGAGCATCTTCGCGTAGACTTTTTTCTCCTTCTCCGTTCCCTTCCCTTCCTGGCGAGCCTTCGTGCACATCTGCTTGCAGCCTCTGCCATATTCAGGGCTGCTGCGGGCGCGCCTTCTGCAGCAGCTGCTTTGCCTCTGCGTTGCTAGAGTTCACCTGTCACTCAATAGATCGTGCCCAAGTCAGATGCAGCTTCCAACCCCTCCCAGCCTCCAGCACCCTGCGCAAATCAACCCCTGCCCTCGCTGCATCACCCAAAGCCAGCAATGCTTTTGCGCGTCGAAACAATGCCTCCACAGGTTGCTGTGCCGTCGACATTCCCTCGACAAAGCACACTAGCATGATGGCGTGGGTCCTTCTCATTGTCTGGGCTGGCTCGGAGGATAGCGTTGCAGACAGCCTCTAGTTGTGTTCCGAATGAATGCAGCACTCTCATGACGAGGCTCTGCCAGAGCCTCTGCTTCCCTCCATTTCTCCAACTTCAGCAGGCAAGCAGCCTAAACGCGGTCATCAACACAACCAGACAGGCTCCTTACGAGGTCAGTCATGGGGGGACAGAGCGCCACGCCGCATTCAACTCTGACAATGCCCGAACCTCCTGCGCCTGTGCCCACAGCGCGTTGTCCTGTCAGAATGCAAAGGAAGCGTTTCAACCCAGGCTGCCTCCTTCTGGTTTCTGATGGCTACGGGTCGCAGTAGGATGGGACTGGTCCTTGATGTCATCACGGTGGGTCAGCATCTCTGCAGCAAGGCTGTATCGCTCAAGGGCTGGCTCGAACTTCTCTCGCTTGAAAAACTTGGATCCTGCATCTTTACGTCCTGCTTGTTCACAAATGCACAGGGTCGACATTAAAGATTGACCTTGGGTCAGTCCTTTTGCATATTCTAGACGCTCGTGGCCCTCGAGCGTGGCAAGACAAAGATCCTGAAAATCTACATGCGCACATTCTGTGGCCAGGCCCCTGAAAAGGAGACTGGCAAAGCCATGACAAAACGCAAGAAGCGTCTTGAACTTCCACAAGTTCGATTCTGAGGATCACCTTCTTGCCGAAACCTGAACTTGACATCGATCAGGACTTCACAGCACAGCGAAGCTGATGTGCCAACGGGGCCACATGGAGCCAGAGCTTGCCATACGCCAGTCTCCGGCAAAGCTCCAAACTGGCAGAAGGAGTCGCCTCGTGTCAGGCGGGCCAGCCCCACAGCTTGTCAAAAGTACTGAAACAGCTCAATTGCAAGGCAAGGAGATGCCAGCAGCTTGCTGCTACCCCTGCACTAGCATGCATGAAAGGGGCACAAGATAATGAACGTCCCCGCCGGCTTCTTCAAGTGTGGTATAGCAAGCCTTAGTAGCTGAGTAGACTGAGATGTGCAACACAGAGATCTAAACTCCACGTCTTCCATCGCGCGTTCCATGTGGCGAGCCACTCCAACTCTTCTGGTAGCCGAACTTCACCACTCCCTGAAGCCGTACGAAGGCCGCGACAAGCCAGGCGAGTCTCCAGAGAAGACTCACGCACTTCCAGCACTTCCACGTCGAGACTAACCTCTTGGAACATACATTTTGCTGCAGCTGCAGCAGCAGCAACACGGATCAAAACTCATATGGTGAAGCCAGCCTCCGCGCCATCCGCAGGTGCCCGTGCTTCCTTGTCAATCTCATCCGGCGGCTTCAACAACACGCTGGAGGAGCTGTCCGGGGAGATGTCGACAATGCCTGGCAGACTTCAAACATGTCACCATCGCGCTTACTAGAGTTCCTGAGGGGCTCGGTTCTCCCACATGTCAGAAGCGATGCCTCCAATCCCGGGCTTCCATGTCTTGATGTCCTCAAGAAGATCGTATCCTGCCACACATTACGGAAGGTTAGCATCGCCTGCCCACTCTCACACCTAGGCTGAGTCTGCGCAGCGTACATCTGCCATCTCGCGTTGAACGATCTTCAATCTTGATTTTTTTCACCTCGCGTTTGCTCCGATCTTTTCTTGATGCCAATTAGCAGTTCTGAGTCTAGAGCTCATTTGGATGAGCACTCGAGCATGCGTGTCTGCTTTTCAAATGTCTTCGGGTTCGTGGCATCGGGAGTTGCCGGATATCTTTTGCCGCCTGCAGCTAGCAGCTAGCATTTGCGGGAGCAGGCCTGTTGATCTCTTTACCGCCCTTTGCCCCTCTTTTGAGGCGGACCTTATAAGCCAGTGCTTTCGTAACCCTACCATCCTTTGACGAGCACCAAGTTTCACGGATTGGGCAGGCATTGAGTGAACTGCGACAATCCCGTCATCCCGCGCCACATATTGCAGAACCCCATGCAAGCCCAGTTTGGGCTCTTGGGCCGGAAAGAACCTGGCGTCTGCCACCTGAGCCTACCAAGCTGCTCAAAGAAGGTGCACTTATCAGTCCTTTCTCGTCTGCCGCTGGCTTTGAAGACGTCTGGCTGCCCTGACTGATCCCGGCATACGCACAGCTATGGAGCTCTTTTCTTGCAGAGAAGATTGCCTGTCTGCCATCTGAACTCGAAATGGCTGGCACGCCTGCACTTTACAGGAAGTAGGGCACTTCACCGCTCCAACTTGCAGGAGCCTGCTAACAGTGGCGGGTCTGACGCCTTGGCAGAAACCTTCATAGAGATTCCAGGTTTTGTAGCAGGCAGTACGGCGGCAACTTGTCCGGCAAAGCCTCACTGGTTAAGCCGGCGAAGCAGCCACACGCGGTACCCATAGCTCAGTACGTTCAGTACGCTCAGAACGTTCAGGACTTCTTGTCATCCCGAGCCATCGCTGCAGGCTGTCGCTTGACTGTCTTTCTACGCCAAATCTCCCCGAATCCTCATGACGGCATGTCTTCCCGGATAGCTGATGTCAGCACCAAGCAATTCCTTCTGAAAGCTTTTGGGCCATGACGCCATCAGATCATGTGCTATTGCGCTGGAAATCAGTGCATCGCTGGGCGAGGCACGAACTCTGCGCTCCAAGGTCACCCGCCTCCAAAGGCAGACATGATCAAACTCCAGTGCACAAAGCATGTTCATGCCATGCCTCCAGCCGACGCTGTGCCTCTTCTGCGGGAGTTTTCACAACTGACCCATCTCCAAATAGCTCAACGGCCAGGCCCTTAGCAAAGCAACGGTTGAAGCAGCGCAAACACCGCACTCTGAACCGCATTGGCCTGCCCAATGCTTGAAAGTTCTTGGGAATTCAGCCTCAAGCTTTGCACTTGAAGCTGTGGACCACAATTTGTTGGGCGTGGCACTTTGACCCCGCAACCACAGCTGCCGCTGCCGACATCTTGAGAAGTCGCTGGCCTCTCAGGCAAGCTCTCTGCAATAATCGCTTTCTATATGGGCGCACCTTGTGAGGCTGGCTTCGCAAACGCCCAACCTTGGATGATGCCAGGTTCGGCAGATGGCTGAGGATGGCTTGTTGGAGGAAAGGCTGATGTTCGCAGCGTCCTGACCGCTGAGAGCAGCCAGGTTCTGCTGGGACTGCAAGGAGACCTTATGGAAGTCTCGCACACACACACACGCCATCTCTTTACTGGGCCCATGCAATTGTAGCTTCTTGATTTCAGGCCAAAGCCAGTGTGGAAGGGGGCTCGTCTTGAAGTTCCAAAGTTCCCCAGGACCGTGCAATAGCGGCAAGTTCCTGGTTCACGCACTCGCACAAAGATGGCAGGGCCATGCCGAATAGTTCTCCTGGGGTCTGGCTTTCATCTTGTCTGCCTTGGCACGTTGACAGAAGAACAGCATCAGCCGACCGAGCTCCGAAAGTCAACATGTGCGGTTTTGGGGACATTGGATACAGTGCGTCTGAAGCTGCAGATGCCAAGAGTGAAGATGGAAGAGCTCCAAGGGATAACCTCACGAGCCACCATGACTTGGGTGTGTGCTCTCTGTGATTTCACTTCCTGGATGCATCCAAGCATCGCATGTCGAAACTTTACTTTGCCGTGGGCCCGGCCTTGACTAGCACGTCATGGCAGAGGGCGGTCTGTCATCCTCTCTCTTGCTGAGGGGCAAGCCAGCGTTTGCTAGCCTCGAAAGGCAGCAAAACCGCATTCCGTCTGCAGAATCGCCGCTCTTCAAATGTAACACTTCATCAGATTCAACACTACATCCTTGTACACAACATCCGACACCATCACAAATCATCACAGCAAGCGGCCCCTGGCTGCTGAAGCTTCCAGCCAAATCTTCACACCTCCACATGCAAGTGGCACGTGACATTGGTGCCGACGCAGTGACCAAGCTGCCTGGTGCCAAGTGCACCTGAAGCAGGAGGATCCTGGCCGGCAGAGTGCAAGTACAGGTTAGTCGACGGCTAGTCGTGACCAATAGGTCTAAGCACGATGGACAGATCTCTGGGCATAGAGCTGCAGAGCTCGGAGTGGTGAAGTCTCGAACCAGATTGGCAGCACCTGCCAATATCACCACATTCCACACGGCAGACAGCTCACTGGCTGATCCGGGCACCCTGAGCATCGAATTCGGCCATCAGAATCCTCACAACATGTAGTGCGGCACTGGTGGATTTATATGCTTATTAAAGGCACAGCACCTCCATCGACAAGCAGGAGCGGTCATCAACGCCACCTGCTTGCAGCCTCAGGAATGGCCCAGCCGAGCAGACCCGCCGGTTCTAACCCGCAGTTCAGCGAGCCCTCAATTACATTAACCAGACGAACCTGCAGGGCTTTCAGCAGAGCGGACAGACGTCCGGGAAGTTTATCTATGTACGAAACTGCCACGGCACCGCAGCAAGGACAGCATTGTAACGTATCTACAGCTGTCAATGAGGCGATAAACAGAAGCAGGCAGCTCACTTTGGCTGCCGACCAGGAAATGAAAAGACCGTAAAGAAGAACATTGAGGACTGTGCAAGCGAAGCTCTTTGGCCTGCTTCCAGGAACTACGGCACCGGGTCATCAACAAGAGGTGTTGCGTGAGGCGACTCATTTGCACACAGCCAGAGGGAGAAGTGGCTTTGACGAGGTGCCTGGCAAGTCTCAAGAATCCTCCGAAGTCTGGGTAGAATGCACGGGCATTGACTCTGGGCCTCACTCTCCAGCATAGAGGCCCGACACATACTTCTTCGATCCGAAGCACGGGCCTAAAACTTGCAGGTTGCCTTAACAGAGCCACGGCCCGGAGAGCTCAATTCGACTAAACTTTGAGCTCCAGACGCGGCAGGCCACTTCAATACCAGGCCTTATATCTGGCTGGCATGCTTTTTCTTCAACGCTTTTGACAGGTGCCGAGGAGCAGAAGGTACAGAAGAATCAGCATGGCGGCTGGAGCAGCCTCGTGGCATGACTGCTTGTGCACAGGCAGCTGCCCTTTCAACTTGCACATCCGGCAAGGCACGCCAGGCACGCACAACTATTTTCAGCCTGGTGTCAGCTAGGATTGTAAAAGCGATGCACCTTCTTGCATGAAGGCGATAGGGCGATGCCCACCACAAAATTAGCGCCTACATCCGCCAGGCAAGGCATTGTCGAAATGTCCCTCAACACCAAGCCTGGGATGATCTACGGCGCACAAAATGAATTGGAAATCTGTACCAGCATGCCACAGCTAAGCGGATGCAATGGAGGGCAAAGCAGCAGCTGCGATGCATTGGCCTACTGCCTTGAAGTGATCGTCAGCTGTGTGAAACTGGATGCCTGCAAACTCTGGGAACTCGGTCTCCAGAACCTTCTTGGCGGTACCCAACATGATGTCACCACCAGCACCCTTGCTGACGCGGCCCAGGATCATGATGTGATCAATGGGATAGAACTCACAGTACTGAGCCAGGGCATAGCCGAGATAGACGCCCATGGTTATGTACAGTTTTTCAACCTGAGGCTTCTGCGCAGGATCCTCCATTGCCTTTTGGATGAGCTTGAGGCATTGCGCGTGATCTTCATGCTTGATGGTGCACATGTCGGGGTGGGGATAGACATAGTTGGGCGGAACTTTCACGCCTGCCTTTGCCGCGAGTTTCGTCCTTACCAAGGAAAAACTTGGGGGCCTCTAATTGTTTTCTTCACACCCGCAGAAGCTCGCAAATTCATACAAGAATCGCCCCACGTTGTCCCAGGTACATGTGAGAGATGCCTGTGTGGGAGCCTTTTGTCCAGGGATCTGTCGGGGCCTCGAGAGGACGAGAGCATGTTGGATACTGATATGCAGCATGCGATACTTCAAAAGTGGCAGCTGGCAAACCACTGTTGCTGTGATGTGAACGCATCCCGCCTCTGGGTTCATGTCCAGCTTGACGTAGCACAGCTCGTTAATCCAGCCCATGAGGTTGCCTTGAGAGCCATGCTGAAGAGCTGGGCAGCTAGGGAGCATCATGTGACAATGTGACCATGTCATGGTTCTGCCAACACTAAGTATTGGCAAGTGTCCATCAGCATTTGCATAGCCAGCACCCTCACTGCTGCCCATGGAAATGCCCATGATGTTCCCCTTGCCATCGAGCTTCTGAACCGCAGCAAGAGCTGTCACCTCACCATCGTTGATGACTTTGAGTGGCACTGACCCTGCTACATCTTTGGCAATGCGCTGGAAAATGTCCACCACCTTCTGCTTGTAGATGGGCGGCGGCACGTTGGGAAATATGTCACACCAAGTTGCCTCATTGTTTGCGCCAACTGTTCCAGTAGCGCTGCCACCGATGGCCTCCACCTTGGGCAGCTTTTCCTTCGCAAGCTTGAGCGCAGCCGTCACAGCCTTGAAATGGTAATCAGGATCGGCTTTGGTCACCTGAACGCGCGCAAGCAGGACAAGCAGCTACAAACATCCACGTCCGTCACAGGGTTTGAACTGCAAATCCATTCAAGGCGGGACACATCCCATTCAGTCTCTTTAGAGTACACAACCTCACCGTCCTTGACAGCCACCGTTTTGATGTCACTCTTTCCCAGATCAAAAGCCAGCCGGCAGCCATTTGCAACCTTGCCGCAAACCTGTGGCGTGTCCTTAGCCTCGGGCAACTCTGCCACAGACGCCACAACTTTGACCTCGAAAGCTTTGTCAGGCGTCCCACAAACATTGGGCATCGACATGACCTCGAAGTCATACTTCCCTCCCTTGGAATAATCTTTCTGGAGGGCGTCACAAATATGCGGCGGACCACACAGAAAGAGGGATGAGGCACTTCGTTGCCAAATCATTTCCTGGATCAGGATACCGGCCAAGTAGATGGATGCCTCCTGGTCTTCATGGCCTTCCGGGAACACGGGCAACTTGTACCGGGCACAGCCATCAGCGCGGGGAAGGGCCCATTCCAAGTACACAGGATTCCTTAGCCGCGGTAGCAAGATCTGCTGCTGCTGCCACCCGACCTCACATGCCAATAATGGCTGACTTGCAACCACGGCACCCGCGAATGAGGTAGCCCATGAACCCATCCCATGCACCACTGGCAGCGGCCACCGCCTTGAGGTAGTTGCGCTTTGCTAGCACCAATGGAGAGAAGTTTGGATCAAGTGGTGCCGGCACGGCGGGCCGCACAAGCAAAAGCTTCATGGCTGACTCTGGCATTGCCATGTTGCTCAAGCGTTTGTACAGCTCGAAACAGCAATCACGACGAGCCTTGGTCCTAAATGTCTCTGGGGCAATGCAGGAATTCGAACAGGCCCAAGCACACCACACTTCCAGAGGCTAACAAAGAACCACTGGCGTTACATCCAGAATGCCTCGGAGATGAGATAGTACGGCAAGAGCAAGGCACAGGGCCAGAACTGCCTCAGGTAAACATCCACTGTTTGCCCCTGTTCGCTGCCGGAGGCTTGTTCATCGATCCAGCCGTGGAGGACACCCACTCTTCCCTGTCAAGCCCGCATGCTGCCGAGGAACTTATTGGTACAAACCAAGTAGAGAATGCAAGCGGAGCGAAACAGAAAAGATGCCACACACGCCGTCACCACTGCCCAGACCCGGAAAACACCTCAAGACAACCATGACACTTGCCGCTCGCAGCTGACAGTTTCTGAAAGCCTTGGACAAACATGCAGCCCAGTCTCTTCCGAGCACTGTCTCCACTTGAGTAGAAGGCGGCAACGGACCAGCCTCTGGACTCCTGACACAAGCATCTCAACAGACATGACACACTGATGACAAATCTGCCGACCTCTCCACAGAGTCGCTTGCCTGCTCAGAAGCCGTCACCAGGTGGCTCACATCCACTTTCAACAAGTCCACACGACTCTGGCGGCTGACTTTGGCATATGGATGCATATGGTACAGAGATCGTGCCGCCAAGTTTGGCAGGCACGAGCACTGGAAAGTTTGTACACTCCTTCCATCTTGCGGGCAGCTGAGGTCATGAAGCTCAGAGACCGCAGTGTGAAAGAAAGAAATCGGCTGCATTAACCTCGTTAGCTGGCCAACATCTTGCTGGCTCACGGCTCACTTGGTTGCCCGAGTTATGGACATTGCTTCGCGAAGGCGTCGCTTGCTTTAGTCCTCCAAGCCTGCAAGGCTCCTGACAAAGAAAAGCCAAGAAGGAAGCTGGTTCACAAATTTCACGAAGAATCTTGTAGCTGCTGTAGCTGAGATGCCTTGCCACCTTCTGCTGCAGGCTGTAGTGGTCAATGTCGACGCTTAACTCCCTGTTTTTCTGCCGGCGGCCTTGTGACACTGAGGATTCCTCCACCTGCACAGCACGACAGTATGTGGCCGTCTCCACCAAGTGCCAAGCATGAGGTAGACCTCGCCTCCGCCTCTTCCGAAATTGGCGATATAGGGCAGGTACGACCATCTGGGTGTTCCGACATAGACTCATCTGCTCGGCGAAACCTAGCAACAACAAACATAGTCGCGGTCCTTCGGTGTTTCTTGCACCCCTCGATTCAGACAGAAGACAATTCGTGCGAGTTTAAAGATCTCGACGGGCTGCTCCGCAGTGACCTGAACAGTTGAACATCAGTACATTTGACAAGACTTCGACGGGCCCAAAGACGTGAAGAACGCTTGACAAGGCTGCATGTGGGCCTCATAGCCGGACTGTTGCGGACCTCTGACAACACTTCCGTCGCTGCTGCAGCTGCAGCTGTTGCGGCAGCTGTTGCAGTGGCAACCTTCTCATGAGAAGTGTGCAGTGCATGGGCTATGCGCGGAAAAGACACCTCACATACTCTTTCCTCAGTAAAGGAGCAGAATCAGCTTCTATCGACTGCAGCGATGGTGCAAGGACACTGACCAGTTGCTGATGTGCACGGAGCTCACTGGAAACCTCAGCAGGATGCGTGTTCTTGATCGCCCGCATGTCATAGACAAACACCATGCAAAAGGTTGAATGACTCAGCCGGGAAGCTTGGCGCAAACGAGTCTCCATTTCTTTTGTAAGCTCTTCACAAGAAGTGGCCGCGGCATCGCAACGATCGAATCTTTCGCAGAAGCGTTCCTCTGGATGCCGCAGCACGTGAATACCCTTCACCCTCAAACCTACAAGGAACTGGCCTCCAAGGAGCTTGCAGTTGCTTGTGCCGCTCGCTCCGCAGCTTCAATGAAAGAATCATCCGATCCACGTGAGAAGAGCTCAGCAACATCTCCTCTTGCACACAAAAAAGGATGTCACCAAGATCACTTTTTCAACATCACCGCGAAATGCAGCCCAGGCTCTGCGCGCCTCTTCCTGGCAACGGGAATACACCCAACAGTTCGATGCTCAATTTCACTGGCCAGCATGTGAACATATGTGAACATCACCGCGAATCGCCAAGAATCCGCAATGTCCCGCGTGCTGCGCACCGCTGTCTGCAGCTGGCGGATTTCCTCCCCAGGTGTCCAATTTCAAGTAGCTTTCAGCGCGTTCAGCGCCATAGCTCCTGCCTCGGCAGCCTGGCGGACCTGGTCGCTGCTTGCTGCCTGCCAGGGCTCTCGGCATTATCTGTGCTTCCTTGGACTGCTTTCAGCGAGGCTTTAGCACGAGGCTCTTTGACTGAGGCCGCCTGAGTGGCGCTTCTATGCAGCCGTCGCTCCAGGTCCTGCCAAGAGCAAACGCATCCTCTGTTGTGAGGGCGATACTCCTTGGAACCAAGACACGTCCAAACAGTCCTGCCGAAACTCGTTTACCAGCTGCTGTCGCTCCTTCAAAAACAGCACGGAGCTCTCAAAACCAACCCACGCTATCTTGAAGCTCCTCCTGGAGCACCAAGCGGCTTGTCTCCGCAAGGTTCTGCTCCTCAGAAATGTGCCCAACACGCATCCTTGCACATCTTGTACACAGGGAGCGTTGCCATGCCAGCCACCTGGCTTAGAGTTGCGGCCCGGCATCCAGATCTTTTCGGAGCTCTGCTGCGAGCCTGTGGCTCGAGCCTTGTGCTTTGACAAGTCGTACTTCAAGTTCCGCACCCAGCTGCTTCATGTCCTCCGAGAATGGATGCAACTCTTACTTACTCGCGGGAATCTGGCTTTCGGATGGTGTTGTGTAGCTTTGTGTTGAGAACTGCTGCACTTTGCTTGGATGGCCTCTTTGGGCTGGCCCACTTGGCCTGCCTTTTTCCAACTGCCGCTAAAGACTAATCCCGAAAAATTATCAGAACCCTTCCAGAAAGGATGCTCCTCTGAGAATTTGTGGAGGGTCCCTTGCTGTTGGGTGCGGAGGTTGTCCAAAGTATGCCGAAACTCTTCCAGCACCATTTCTGACGAGCAAAACTTCCTGTCCAACTTGAGCTCTAGTTCTCGCCTCAAATCTTCTCCGTGTCGCTGTGATTGAGATGATCGAGCCTCAAACTCCTGCCGCAATTCCCTCAGCATTTGCTGCGTTCCCATTCCAGCATCAGCTAGTTTCTGCTCAAACTCCTTGCGCACATCGAATACCATCTTCTGCATTCGTGCTTCTTCGAGAGCACGCGAATCGCTCTGAAGTCTCTGTCGCTGCTCTCGATCTGAAATCTGTTCGATTTGCAATTCCAGCTGACATCGCAAGTCGTGGAGTGCCATGTCTACTTTCCGTTCCAGAGCTTGCAGCATGCGGTCTTCTGTGTCTGTTTGCAGGCTGGACCCAGACAGCACGGCCATGGGAAGTTCCTTCACAAACGAAACCAAATCCTGCACCTGGTCTTGCAAATGCTTGGTCTGCTTCGTGGTTTTCTCGTTGCCTTCTGCTTGGCTGTTCAGCGCGCCCTCCAAATCCCGCACCTGCTGCGTCAGGAATCGAAACTCCTGGCTTGTGGAACAGCTGATGGAAGTGAGCCGCGCATCCACCTCGTCGACCCTCTGGACCACCTTTTGGTTCATGCTGCGTTGTTCTGCCAAGGCTTCAACTTTCGCTTGCACCAGGTCTACGCGTTCAACAACGTCTTGGGCGGAGGGCTTCAGCTCCAGGTTGGCTACTTGTTTCCTATGGCCTTCCACGGCCCCCTCCAGAGTAGAGGCGAACGCACGGACATCCCTGACCTCGCGCGTGAGTTGGAGGAGCTGCTCCCCATGCTGCCTGAACGATTGGGACTCAAACCAAACATGGTGCATAATATAAAGGGCACAGGTATAGCAACAGGAAATACAGCTTAACACAGGAGATCTCAGTAGTCTGCAGAAGCGGTTAGATTTACAGCGCTGACAAAACTCCCACACCTCATGTCATCCCGCGTCTGTCTTAGCCAGTCCTTCTGCTTTGCCCGCTCTCCCTCCTGTTCCTCGGCCACTTCGGAAGCGCTTCGCAAAGCCTGTAAAAGGTCTTGGTGCTGCTGTGAGAAATGTTCCTGCAGCACATCCTCTAAAGCTGTCAGTCGGGCAGTGGCAGGCTCAAGCTGTTGGAGCACGAAATCTTGGCATTCAGCACGCAAGGAATCTGATGCCTTTCGTATAGTGTCGGTGAAGCTGTGCGCAGGATCCTCATCAGAGAGAAGGGCGATGTCGGACTCTGCGCTTTCGAGACGGTCAGACAGCTTCTTGAACTCCGCTGATGCACCATCCCACTGGGAAGTGAGACGATCATGAACTGCTATCATGCTCTCGCCGACCTGATCCTCCAGCTCATGCACTTTGTGTTCATGCCCCGAGAAGCGCACATCTAAACCGCTCATGCTCTCTCCAAGACGCACCAGCTGATCCTGGACTGAAGCAGCATCGCTAATGCCAAATCGCCGAACTTGCACTCTGAACTCATTCAGTCGTGCATCCAGCTCCTCACCCACCCTGCGCATCTCCATCAACCGGGCATCGAAGTTGAATGCGCTAAATGCAGCTTGCACGTCTTGCAGGACCTGACACCGAAACGTCCAAACAAGAGCATGCAGGGCAGCTTGAGGAACCAAGGGGACGGGCAGCGAATCTGAAAGGTTGCAGTCAAACAGTCGCACCAAAGGCCTATTTGCATGGTCTCTTGAATAATGCGTAAGTGAGCAAAGGCTATCACACCGCATGGCAGAACATGCCTCTGAGTGCATGGACGACAGCAGCACCGCGACTCGATCCACCAAAGAGTCGATCTGCTTCTGCTGCGCTGCCACAGACGCACGCAGGTCGCATATGCCGGTGCCGGCCCACGTTCCAGAAACCAATCCAAATTTCTCATCGAGAAGGGAGGATGCCGAGAGGTCCGGGCCTAGTCCACAGGCAATTTGTAGACCCGATCAGATGCAAGAAGATCGACTGCCTCCAAGTGGCTACTGCGAACGAGCGCATTCGGAGCTCGCAAGGACTTGGCCGGAACGAGACCCAGAGCTGCCATGGCTAACTCTCAGGTCAAAACATGTCAAAAGCTTTTAAACCGGTCGGCCTTCCTTTTGGCACTGAGCTACTGTTTCAGATTGATTTTGAAAAGTCTTTGCGTGATCCTCCTTAGGCCCCAACTTTGGGAAGACCTTCTTAGAGCCAAGACCAGCGGATCCAAGCATAGCTTACCCTGCAGAGTCGCAACATCTGGCTGATAATATTTTAGGCTCTGCCTGGCCACCAACACTGCCTGCAGACATGCCATCACCTGCTGCAGCATGCAGCTAAATGCAAGGCGCTGCTTTCCTGCACTGCATTCAGGTGGCCTGAACACGAGGCCTGTGCATCACTGCCTCAGACCAACAGTACGTACAAATCTGAAGTTTTCTTGAGCATTCTTCGAGAGGAATGTGAATGCCTTGCATGTCGCTCTCAAGATACCTGACCGTCGTCTAGACTTGCTGGCTGGCTGGTTGCCTTCCATGCTTCAGTTTCTACTTTTGCTCTGAGGCTCTCTTTGCAGCACAGCTGCACTTGGTCCACGCCATCCGCCCCGTCTGCTGGATGCTGCCCTCCGACACCTGCACAGAGGCTCTCAGTAATTGCTGGAGGGCTGCCTAAAGGGTTGCACGGCGTGCGCAAATCACTGAGGATAGCAGCCACATGAACAACGACCCTACAGAGTCTTCGCCACTCTGCCAAATGGTTTCTTGCTAGCTCTGCCTCTGCTGTAGCTCGAGTTTGGGAGCTGGCAGTCGAAGAGCTGTGCGACACTTGCTCATCTATTTGCACCTCAGCGACATGGACAGCACCCCGCAGGTAGGACATAGCCCTAATGCATGCCACGCAGTGCGTGCAAGCTGCTCCTGCACCAAGGGCTGCGATGACCTGTTCGCTGGTCAACATGAGCTTGAGTCGCCTGAGAAGACTGATACAAGAAGCTGCGCATGATGGCATGCGCTCTGGCGGGTTGCTCAGGCCTCAAGCGGCGCAGCAGCTGCACGGCAGAGGCGAAGAGACCGAGGCCAGTGAAGGTGCACACCACAAAGATAGGCGCTTCCACGAAAGCCATGAGAGCAACGCCTGCGCAGCTTCCAAGAACGAGGCAAGCGCAGTGCTTGTCATAGTTCTGTCGAGAGTCTAACGTGCTGTTTGTCGTCGTCCTGCGATTCAATCCAAGGGCGTGCGCGCGGTTAGAGCCAGTCTGCCTGTGGCCAATTCAAACTCCTGATTGCGTGCCTTTTCCATTGGTACCAGGAACCGAATGAGATGGCGACCAACCCAGATTTCAGGAGAAGCCAGTAATCTCCGACCCGGGTGAAACGGATATGTACATCTTCAGAACTCATCTTCCTGCAGCGTTGAATCTGCAGCTACATACCTGCTACCACTTCTGCGCCTGCTTGACCTCATCTGGCTCTAGCGCATTGTCAATCATCTGAGTTACTCCTGAAATGCAGCAAAACTGGGCCGTTATCAAGCACGAGTCAACCTTCTGCCTCGCAAGCCTAACGCGGTGTTTGAGGCGCTTGCGATCTGCAATGTCTAAAGCCAACCATCCATCACCACCTCACAAAAGAAGGCTTCAGCCACCGTGTAATTGGAAATGGTATCAATTGGTATCACGTCGCCTTCTCTGGAACTGTAGTCCAAATCAATGATGTCAGGTTCATCCAACATCTGTGCGCTTTTCGATCCAGCGCCTGTGCTCAGCAACTCCATGTGTTACATGCCTAGATTGCGCAGGTGCTCTGTTCTCACCAGCAAGCGAGATGCCTCGACCGAAGCAATACACCTTCCACGCATGAAATCCTTTGCAGAGATGCGAGCGCCGACCTTAAAAGTTGCGCTGCAAATGTGAGCTAATTTCTAACGCACAGTCCGTACGTTCACGATGGTGAACGATAGCTTACTTGGTGGCGGACGTTCTCGTGTATAGCTTTCTTCTGCCTCCTCCTCCTCCAGCCAGCACACAATGCATGAGAGCTTCATGCTCTATTTCAAACTCACACTCTACACAGCGAGGATCTCCTGTTGCAGGAAAATGCTCAATCGCTCGATAGGACTGCGTTCCTGCGAAGTCTTGAAATAAGCATGTGCTACGAGTGGCCGCTGATGCTGCTCCTCCTCAGCATCACCACCCTGCGCATCCGAAAACCACTTGCACATCTGCTCCAGCATGGATGGCGCCTAGGATCAGTAGGGATGGCACTGAACCCACGCTCTTTTAGGCATCCGGGCTCTGGCTAATGCTCCAGAAATCTTCTCTCGCAGGGCTCGTGCTTGAGGTGAGCTTGGTGAAGAGGGCTCAGTCTGGACCATTTCCAGCTCTTCCTCGGGCAGCGAGCGTGGACGTCATCGGTTGTTTGTGCAGCATCGCCGAGCCTGCTCCAATTCTAGCTCCAGCGGCCGCAACCGAGCGGAGGTAGGGCTGTCTTTGGCCTTCGTACTTAGGTTGGCTACAAACGTGGCAGCATGAAATGAGGAAGCAGGCCTCTGATGCAGATCCTGCGCGTGGACTCGAGTCACCCACTGACCGTGGAGGTCTGTGGGACAAGAAAGGTCGGCGTGACTCGTGAGGCAGCTACACACAATAGCTCACACTGCCACTGCTGCTGCAAGGCACATGCTGGACCGACTCCAAGGAATGCATGTTTCCAGCCAGACGTTCCTGCCACTGCTGCAGGCACTTTTAAGGGCCATCTGTTAAAGGAACAGATGCATACCAGGCACCGCGCCTCCCATACACCTTCTTGGACCTCTGCAGTCTCATCACCGAGGCTGACGTGGCCTGTTGAGCTCAGCAAGGTAGCAAAGGATGTTCAGATGAAGCCCCAGCAGCTTCCAACAACTTCCTCGCCCCCGCCTCGCCTGATGCTGTTCTCGCAGAGGAGACCAAGGCGTGCCGGGTCCCTTCTCAGGAGGACGATAGCCCTGCAGGGGGCGTAGCGGCATCAGGGGCTGGAACTCGTCACCTTGGCGATGCGCATGCCGGTGTGCCTCAAAGGGTTGGTCTTGCTTGTTTCTGCTGAGGCGTGAACTGGATGGCTGCTGGATGCCTCTCAGCGTTGTCCGCTTCAGCTTGACGTACCTTCTCGCTTGGTCACAGGAATAATCTTGGCATGGTAGGATAGGATTCGGATGTGGGGGGTTTCACCGGCCTTTGCAGAACAATCGAAGCTTACGAGTAGCAACAAGCTGAAACTAAGACGGGTTGGGGCCCCCAAAAATGGCATCAGGGAGACGAAGACCAATCCTTCAGAGCTGGGATGACATTCTCTTCCGGAGACTGAGCCTCATTCCCGCGCATGTCTTTGATTGCAGGTGGGAACTGATGGCAAGTTGGCTGGGTTTCGGATACAGGGGTAGTACCCCTTCTTCATTGAAATCTTAACAGCCTTGCTCTCTCGCTCTCGCATTTGTCTCTTTCTTCTCTTTTCTTTCTGCATCTGTGGTGCGATGCTTCCTCCAGTGCAGCACGTCGTTGCTTGACCCACTTCATGCCACTTCGGTAGCCAGGTAATCTTCGAACCTGCCGGTTGCCATGCAAAATGGGAAGCCACGCATCTTGACGCTGCCTGTGTCATGTCTTCCTTCGGCAGTGACACTCCTCCACCTTGGCATCAGCATCGCCGCAACCCTGAACAGCGGACCCAGCCGCATCAGCTTTGGAAATCCAAGGAAGGCACCGGTCAGAGTGCGGGAGGATCGCCGCTCTTCCTTCTTCTGCAAGGCCGCAACAGCTCCCACGGCCTTCGATAGTAACAGCGGAACATAATCTTCGATAGCCACTCATCCTGGCTCCCAACCTTCAGAAGGTCTGGACGACCAAACAAACCCCTTGAACTTCGTCTCCGTCCACTTGCCTAGCAAATGGACCCGTTGATACAAAGCTTGGACATTCGCAAGTGCAACCCCGCTGCACCTCTATGCGCTGTCTGGTAAGCTCCAACAGCTTCTGTTTCTCCTTTGGCATCTTGAAGGTGACCACAAGTTCTGAAGCTTCAGAACATACAAATGCTCTTCTGCAGCTAGATGTCCCCGCCAGCGCTCCATTTTACCGTTTCAAAAATCTCAGCAGACTAACTACCTGTTGCAAGCCCTCCAGCTTGGGTGCACACAGTGACCTAATCTGCTTACCTAACCTTTAAACTGCAATTTTGGAATTTAAGCCAGGCCTTGATTGCCTTCTGATCTGCGGGGCGCTCTGGAATAGCAGCAGAGCTGGACTTGCCAACTCCATTTTTGACCCGGCAGGTCAGGGCGGTACCATGTCCCGCTCAAAAGCTCTTCCCGACTTGCCAACTTCATGGGGGTGAAATCACCGTGGGGGGATATGAGCCATCGCTAGTCCTGGACGGGAGTCCAGGAATTTTTGCCCTGCACCATATGCCTGTGGGGGGGGGGAAGTTCTGTTCGTGAACAACTACTGTTTACGGTCACTCTACAAAGCCCAGGAAACGCAAGAACTGACATAATAGGGGCTTAGCTTTCAAGCGTGTTCAGGCTGACTGTTCAGGGACCGAATCTCTCTCCAAACCAAACCAATGTGTAGGGAGCATCCTTTTCTTGCTGAATGCATCCTGTGGCGTAGGAGGCAACGCATGGCCTTGCAGGACCATGGGTGGCGAAAAGGAACGTGATCTGCGATGTGCATTGCGTACCGGCAAGCCGCGCTTTCCCATCACCCCCGCCATTAGATACTGGAACTTGGGCGACAGGACAGGGGAGGGCCAAGGGCACGAAACCAGCTTAAGAGCAGGACCGCATAGGCCCGCATCTCCCAGCAGCAGCTCAGGTTTTGGATGGACATGTTGCAGTTGCAGGCTGTGCCGAGTTGTAATGGAATGCACCGCAGTCGTTCGCCGAACAGTGCTTGCAACTCTGACGGAATGCGGAGGCCGTGGCTGGAGAACGCTGTGGTCAATACACCGCAAGTGAAAGCCAGCTCAAGACTTCTCAACACCAAGAATCACAACAGCGCACTGCCCGTTAGAGCGCCTCTGGGAACTCTTCCACAAGCTCTCGAAAGGCATCGTTGTTGATTGCAAAGGCCAACACCCTGAATGGCAGCAGTTCGCTTTGCAACCATCACTTGAGCGGCGTCAGGGTCCTTTCTTCGGCGCGAACGGTTTGCGCAGCCGCTGTGGCAAATCCCAGAGCCACAAGCTCACCAATAAACCTTGACATACAGCCAGCATTGTTTCTGCAAAATCTGCAGGTTTCCTCAATGCATGGAAGCCGCTCCCCCGCACCGATCTTTCCCACAACCTTGCCTTTGTAGTTGGTTATCCAGGATGTGAGTAGACAAGTTCATTCATGAGTTCCGAGGGCTCGACCTGCCTTCTCAATACAGGCTGTGCCTGGCAGAGGCCAGAAGTGCAACCAGGCAATGAGGGCTCTTTCTGGCCTTGCTGAATCAGTAAGCAGAAGCCGGCATCAACGTCTTCTTCCAGCAAAGGCTGACCAGTCATGAACACCTCACGATCGCTGCATTCTCTCAATTTAAAAGGTATCTTGACAAGCTGGAAGCGCCAAACCTGCTTCTCCAAATGCTGGGCCATGCGAGTCAGGAAGGACGGGTCGCAGTTCTTCAGGAAGCTGGTATTCTGCCTGCAAAAGGTACATGATCCGGGCCCTGGACAACAAGGAGGCACTTGAGAATAAGCCCGCTGCTGAGCTTGAGGCAAGTTTGAGCCCTGCGACGCGCGCGCAAGCAGAGATTTGTACTGTCGGGTCTAACAAGATGAAGCTTGCTGGGAATAGCTGGAGAACCTTCTGCGATAGTGTTTGCACAGTTGACTGCATCTTCTTCGTGAGCATGCGCTCGAGCTTCCTGAGACATGACACCATGCATTTTGTCAGCAAAACGTCGAAACCAGGGCTGCTTTTCCTTTGCCGGGCGCGCGATCCTGACTCGCAAGATGCTTTCGTGAGGCCTCTTTGCCGATTTGCTCGGTGAACAGGAACAAAACCAGCTCTTTGTCCTCTCGCGGCAACTTCGCATGCCTTCCATCAGGCCTCACATTACGAAACACCAATGCCAGCATCAGGGCCGTGCTCCAGCTGCGCGCAGCCGCAATTCCTTGTGGTGCTTGAGCAGGTCCTCAGCCTCCTGTTTCAAAGCCTCCTGTTCTGCCTTCTGCGACTCACTCAACTCCACTGCCCTACTTGGGCCCTGCAGGGTTTTGCGCGCATCATGCCGGCCAAGCGCATCATCTCTATCCATGGCCATATCCGATGCTGACGCAGCCTCCTGAAGATCGAACATGTCTACAATATAGTCAAGGCGGGATAAAGTACACGCGTGCTGATAGCCTATTTGACCAAGGTCTATGCACGTTTGCAAGCAAGTCTCAGCCCGACGTTTGAGCGCAGCCCGGATCTCAGGATTGCAATCCCTGTGTCAAGGGTTTTCGGCTGCTCCTGTGAAGTTCAAGACATGCGTCCCAGCACAGTATGCAATGAGCCTTCTTGGTGCAAGTTGACGAGCTGCTACTTGAACAGCGGGCCTGAAAACCAGCTCATCTTGCCAGGTCGCCCGGCCACAAAAGATCCAGATAGACGGTGAGGCCTTTCTCGGCTTCTCCTTTCCTTTCTTCTTGCTCGACTTTTTGTTTGATGCCTTTTCCTTCTTTCCTTGGACTTTGCCTTGCTGGAGCCCATGACATCAAACAGCACCCGATCTCGATGGAACCCATTTGAGCCAGGGCTGCGGAACAAACGCCACAAAAGGAGACGGGAGGTTTGACGTAGGGTAGTGAACACTACAGAGGGAGTACAAAGGCTTCATGCAACCATGAAGCATGAGGTGGTACCCACCAGACAGATGCAGCAATCACCACAGGAAGAGGGGGGGGGAGGTTCGATGCAACTACCCAGCGTAATGCTACCTGCACCGTGACCTTCCTACAGGGGAGGTAGGGAGGTTTGATGCAAGCAACAGGCATAATGGTACTCGTACCAGGGCCATGCGAGGATTTCTGAACACTACAATGGAGGGGAGGTTCAATGCAACCACCCAGTGTGACATGACCGTAGGAGGGCAGTAAACGCTTGAGAGGCAGTGACTAGGGAGGTTTGATGCGACTACCAACAAGATGCGATTGGACTCATGTTTAACGAAGGTAATGAACACCGCGGAGCGGGCCAGGAGTTTTGATACAACTATAAGCTTTATGTAACCCATACCATGGCCATGGTACTGCCGCGTATTGAACACTAGAGGGGGAGCAAGGAGATTTGATGGAACCAGACGGCATGCTGTTGTCTGTAGCACCACTGCACAAGGGTAGCAGGCACTACAAAAAGAGTCTTCGTACTGTGACCATGCAAGGGAGCGGAGCACCACAGGGACTCGCCAGGTTGGCAGCAACAACCAAAAATGATGTTATTCGCACGACGCACTCTTACTGAGGTCTGCAGAAGGAGTGGGGAAGGTTTGGTGCAGCCACCAAGCATGATGATGCTGGACAGAGCAAATGTAATGAGCGGAGTAAATAAGCGCAAGTAAGTCAAGCAACCCATGAGCGAACATAGGAGTTCATGAACAGATCTCCTCCCATAGTTAGAATTAAGGAAGAAAAAAAAGATATTTCTCCTCCTGCAAAAAAGAGATTCCTGAGGAAGAGTCAATTTCGACCCCCCGTCCCGACTAAAAAAAAAACAGATTCCATTAAAGAATCAATACTACTCAAGCAAGAGACAACTCCAGCCGGCATGCTAGCTTTCGCCGATAATGACGCCAAGCATCTGGATGTCTGCTTGGTAGAGTTGCCGAATCACCTTCAAATCAGTGACAATAACACGCGTGACTGCGTAATCCTCCCATCATATTATTCCGCTACTTGGGAACAGGCAACTCTTCTCGACCGACAAGGTCATGGCAAAGCTTGTTGCTTCAACAGCATTTCGTCCGTAGGGCGAATCCGGAAACCACGAAATATCACAGAGCTCATCAGGCCAAACCAAAAAAGTGGCTTGTCCAGCTTATGGCCTCAAAAACACATTCTCTCGTGTCAAGCTGCTGGAGTTGATGGACCATCGACAGGGAGCATCATGCACTCTGCCACAGTGGTGCATCTGACCGTTGCACCACCTCGCGCACCAACAGCAATATTTAGGCCGGATTCCTGCATGCAAGTAGAGAGCTTGCTGCCGAAGTACTTCTGCTTCCCGACACCAGGAAACCACGCTCGCCGAAGATGCCGGGAGCACTCCTCAGTCCACGAGACAAGCATCTCACGGAGTAATCTGCTCTACTAAAACCTCGAAGCGTCACAGTCGCGACAACCATTCCATTTGCTTCAATTTCCACAATGCCGTGGACGAGGACGACAAAGTGAGTTCCTAGTTCTTCGGATGGTCTCAAGTTGTATGCAAGGACTGCAAGTACGCGGCCAAGCCTGGCATGCCTTGCTGGAGGATGACCTGGTTGACCATGAAAGGCTGCTCATACCTCAGCAACGGGCAAGTACCACGCTATGACTACATTCTAATGTTAAACCTACGGGCCCTTGCATGGGCCCTTAATCCTCGGGTCCTGATAGACCTGTTATACACCCCATGAAACCCTGAAACCCAATTAACGGCCCATGGTTCGGACTCAGGAAACGGGTAAGGGCCCATACTAGGGGCCCATGGTGAGGACAGAAGATACATGTGACTACATGTTACAAACGACATGCGTTGCATATTCCAGGCAATCAAGCTTGGTACATCTTCTGATCCAGACGAACAAGCCCCAAACAATCGATAAGAGAGAGAACCAGAGAGATGCCCTGGACCAACAAAGCCCATGCCATGCGACTGAAGCAAGTATAAGGGCACCAGGGCTACCAAGCGGCCTCGTTCGGAGTGTTTTCTTGCGTACAAGCAGGTGAGAGGGGGTCTTCAAGGATTCTTCATTGTTGTCTTAGAGCAGGACACACTGCAGTTCCGCCAATCCGCCCGAGAGTGTCGACATGGTGAAGAACCCCCCCACTCGCTCAGCCAATTATTAGTACCGCAAAAATGGCATGATTAACAACCCCCAAGATTAGAAAAGAAAGTGATATCATGCTCTCTGCTCTTGAACACGAAGCTGGATCTTTGGCGATTTGCTGTACCAGCCGCAGCAGGAATCCAATGTTACCTGCTGCTTAGCCTGTCCTGCTCGGCTGGGTGTAGATTCAAGTTCTAAACCTTAGTGTCTTTCTTTTGTTTTCTCTTGTGTTTTAAAGTCTCAGGCAAGAGCTAGATTTTACATTCAATCATGATGCAAAATGATTAAAAAGCATGGAAATCGTGAACAATTGTGAAAAATCATGAAATCATGAGAAATCAGGAAATTGTGGAAATCATAAAAAATCATTGTAAAAAAGTGACATATCATGAAAAAACGTGCAGAAAATGAGAAATCATAAAATATGGTGAACAAAGATGAAAAGTTTGGCGAATCATGGAAACTGCTAGAAAGTGATAAAAACGATGCAACAAGATGGTTTTGATGAAGAATTGTGAAAAATTATCAATCATCACAAACAATGATGAACATCATGGAAGTTGATGAAGTGTTCTAAAATGACGAACAGTGGTCAAGCATGGACCGCCTTGAAAAATAGGCAGGGCGGTTGGGTGCCCCCCCTCCAAAAAAAAAAGATCTGCGTAGCCATCCCTTATGGCGATGACACGGCGCTTCCATGACACGGCAAGCGTGGATGGCTCTAAAAAAGGGGTTGGTGCGGGGGACAGCCGCTCCCATGCGCAAACAACATCATCTGTATAAGCATTCCTCGCTGCGAACATGGGGATGACATGGTGCTCCTTTGTTACAACAAGCACAGATTGCCTTGAACAAGGCTTGGGGGGGGGGGGCAGCTTGCAAACAACAAGGGAACACGTGATGAAGGATTAGGAAACTACTGAAAGACCATGAACACCCATGAAGAGCATGGAAAAATATGAGGATGGAAAATTGAATTATCAAATTATATGAAATCGATAAACAGTCGTGAAAGTTGTTGAAAATGATGAAAGGTATGGCAACTGCTGAAAGAGGATGGATAATCTCAAAATGCTGAAAATGACAAAGAATTGTGACACATGATAGAAAACGGCAAATACTAAGCAGCAAAAAATGAGCAAGAAGCAAAAAACAACAATCGCAGATAGCAGCGATCAAGCGTAGCCAACGAGAAGCAGGAAGCTGAAATATAGAGCAATGAGCACTCAGGAGATCGCAGGCAACAAGAAACAGAAAGCTAAAAGCTGAAAACAAAAAGTAAGAAGCAGGAAAGATCAGAAAGAGAAAGCAAAAAGCAGCAAGCGAGAAACAAGAAGCAACAGGCAGAAAGCCACAAGTAGAAAATAAAAGCAGAGGGCAAAAAGCCAGAAGCGAAAAGCAGAAAGCAAAAAGCAGAAAGCAAGAAGCAACAAAAGCAGAAACGCAGGCAAAAACAGAATCCTTAAAACATAGGCCCCCCAAGTTTTACTACGTATTCCACCCAATCCAACCAATCAAGAAGGCACGCGGGCGTTGGAATGAAGGCTGCACTAACAGTCTTACGCTACCGACCCCCGACCCTGCTTTCTTTCACAAGTTAGCGCCAAAGAGACATGTTGTCAACGAGCATGCGGATGAAGTCCTGAGACGGAATTGAACAACCTCCTTTGCTCATGCAGACAAGCAGCCCCGCCTGGCTGAAGCCGCCTTCCCCAGCGCTGGCTTGCTCCAAGGCCAGCGAAGCCGCCTCAGGAGATAAAACGCCTTCCCAATTTTGTGCCAGAACTTCACTTGCAGCGCCTTCCGACTCTGGCTGTGTGCCTCAACAATGGCCATCATCCGCCTTACATGGAAACAGCCCATTCAGGGGTGCGGGGAGTAACGGGAACCATTTTGGCCGTAACGGGAGCCAGTTTTCCGGACTCGGAACAGGAACCAGCCGGGACTGCAACAGAAACCGCAGCCAACACGTAATCGAAACCAGGCCGCCAAGCAGCCGAAACCGAAATCGGAAACGAAATCCCGGAGCCCAAATTTCGCAAAGTGGGGAACCGAAAACGGGTCCCTCTCCAGGACAACTTTTTTGCAACTTGCTCGTACCTCGGTCTACTCATTTTCTGCTCGAGCTACCACTAGTGCTACTTCTCTACTCTTTTTGCAACTTGCTTGTACCTCATTCTAATCATTTTCTGCTCGTGCTGGCACTAGTACTACTTCTACACTGCTTCTTACATCCTGAACCTAAACCTTAAACCGTAAACCCTTAACTCCAAGCCAGAGCTTGGGATCTTCACCCTCCAAAGGTCAAGGTTTAGGGTTTAGGGTGCTGGATCAAGGGGATTCATTGATTTTGGGATAACAAAGGTTGCTATATGCTTTTCGTGGGCTAGAAGTAGCCTTTCTACTAGGTATGATGGTAAACAGTACCTCAGCCAAAAAGCCCTAAACACTAAACTTGAAGCCAGAGCTTTAGATCTTCACCCTCCAAGGGTCAGGGATGGTCAGGGTTTGGGGTCTCAGGGTCAGGGTTCATGGGTTCTGGATCAAGGGGACTTCCTCAGTATAGGGATAACAGCTAACAGAGATTGCTAAATCCTTTTTAGGAGCTATAAGTACACTTACTAAATCCGCTTGACCTTCCAAGTGAGGCAGAATCGCGAGCCGCCAGCCCAACTAGAGAGTACAATATGTTGCTCCCCGTTTTATAGAATTACCTTTTCTAAACCCAAAAACTTGGATCCGAAAACCTAAGCCTTAAGCCCTAAACCCTGAAGTTCACATGTCAGCCCTTGCTTCGGAAAGATGAATGGATACTTGGGGCAGGGCTTGGTTGAGGGTGCGGCCCGAATCGGCCACCAAACAGGCCCGAATGCGCCACCGCGCGGGCCCGAATCGGCCACCGCGGCCCTCCGAATCGGCCACCATGCACGTGCCACCAGGAAGCCCGAATCGGCCACCGCAACGTCCGAACCGGCCACTGTCCCAGGCCGCCGCGGCCGCCCGAAGCGGCAACCTAGGAACCAAGCCCCAGCAACCCCGTACCAGCGAACCAACCCAACCAACCCAGGCAACCCCACCGAATCAACCAACGCTCTTAACCCAAGCTACCCGAGCCACCCAAACAAGCAAGTAACCCAAGGAAGCCCGCCAACCCAACCAACCTTACCCACCAAACCGACCCACCCCAGGCAGGTAGCCCAAACAACCCCGTACCAGCCAACCAACCCAACCATGCCAACCAACCCCACCAAATCAACCAACGCTCTTAACCCAAGCTACCCGAGCCACTCAAACAAGCAAGTAACCCAAGGAAGTCCGCCAATCCAAGCAACCGAACCCACCCAACCGACCCACCCCAGGCAGGTAGCCCAAGCAACCCCGTACCAACCAACCAACCCAACCATCCCAACCAACCCAACCAACCCAACCAACCAACCCGACCAACCAGCCCAACCAACCCCACCAAATCAACCAACGCTCTTAACCCAAGCTACCCAAGCCACCCAAACAAGCAAGTAACCCAAGGAAGCCCGCAAACCCAACCAACCTAACCCACCCAACCGACCCACCCAGGCAGGTACCCCAAGCAACCCCGTACCAGCCAACCAACCCAACCAAGCCACCCAAACAAGCAAGTCACCCAAGGAAGTCCGCCAATCCAAGCAACCCAACCCACCCAACCGACCCACCCCAGGCAGGTAGCCCAAGCAACCCCGTACCAACCAACCAACCCCTGACCCACCCCAGGCAGGTAGCCCCTAGCAACCCCGTACCAACCAACCAACCCAACCATCCCAACCAACCCAACCAACCCAACCAACCCAACCAACCCAACCAACCAACCAACGCGACCGACCAGCCCAACCAACCCCACCAGATCAACCAACGCTCTTAACCCAAGCTACCCGAGC